GTTGTCAGTGCCAGACTTTTCTTTTTGACTCTAGACCCTTCTCCATTTAATAATATAGAGTACCACGTAAATATGAAAAACCGATTGTAATTAAAAATTATAAAAATTTAATATTTATTTTTGTGATAAAATATCGGTTTTGAAAAAATGTTTTATTAATTGTTTAATAATTTATTTATCAGAGTGGTTTGCTGGCCAAATATTAAAATTGCTTAAAATAAATGTGATGAGTGTTTATTTTTCAGTGTTTGATTTTTTTATTGTGAGTAGTATGATTTGAATGTATGTGAGTATAGTATGATAGAAATTTTTAAAAACACTTGCAAAATCACGGTTGATGATATCCATCATTTGGTTTTAAATTCTAATGGTATTTTAGTTAAGTGTCTTTTATTCGAGGTTTTTGTGTCAATGCATTCACATACATTCTAAATTTTATGCATATTATGTTATCAAAAAAAACCTTTTGTTTGAAATTAAATTAATATTTTCCTATTCCTGTTCTGAAAACCCCTTTGTAGCACATTTTAAAAAACCGTCTGAAATTATTCCTTCAAAATAGCAGATTTTTTCGGTGTTTTGAAAGTTCTTTTTATATGAGGCAGTATTTTTTTTTCAAAACACAGTTTGGCTTTTTGACAACATTATCGCATCTTCAGATCTGATAGATTTTTGTTACAGAATACTCTACGTAGGACACCAAAATAGTTTAACCGAATCTATTTCGTTCACAAAAAAAAGGAAAATTAATATCTATCGGATCTGAAGGATATGTGTGTTTTTTGGCTGAGAAAACGTTTCCGTTTGTTTGTAAGCAAAAGAGATTGTGTAGTGGTGTTGTGTGTGCGTGCATGTGAGGGAATCGGGTAGTGGTTTGTGGCTTTGGTGCGGTGGAAGACGACGGGTGTTACCTGTGTTTCCGGGCGTTGACCTTCGAGATCCATGACCTTTTTTGCTGTTTTCCGTGGTTTGGGTGGTCGCTGCGTTTTTTGGGAACCTGCTTTGGTGGCCGGAGTGTTGTTTGTGAGATGTGAAACCCTTGAATGTGGTTTATCTTGCAATATCCCAAAGTCGTTTGAGAGAGAGGGAGGACCGATGACTTCTGCATGTCGGCGAAGTTTTAGGGCGAAACTGGGGGAATGAGGATGTGGCGTACGATATTAAGGGTGTATTGTGTTGGGCCGTTTCCAACAGCTGTTGGGCTGACTCATATTTTACATTGGGTGTTTTCCAGCCTATTTGCTTTGGCCCTATTATAAGTGGGTATAAAAATCCAGGAGTGTGGTATTATTCCTACATTTTATGATTGACATATCCTTTCGATACTTTGGGATTTTTTTGTTGGACAAAATGAATGGAATATATTTACTATCGTGGGGTGTTAAATGAAGGCCCAGGCTTCATATTTATATTAAATATTAAACCTTCCGAACTTAATATAAGAATTTATTTTTGGACCATAATCAGGTTATATAAATTAAACTGTATTAATTTTTTTGGGTTATTGCTTACTCCCTCCGTCCCTAAATGTTGTTCCAATTGCGGATTACAAAGGTTGACCGACGATAAAGTTAAATGATCCCTGTGAAAACTCGGATTATTTTTAGTAAATAAAATTTACATATTCAGAAACTACATTAAGTCCGCTACAAAGCCTGCAAAAAGTAATTCAACTTTTATAAAATTTTGATATAAAAAGTAAGATATTAAGAGTGATTTAAGTTGACCAATTGAATAGCGAAATGGAACTTCTTTTAGGGACAGAGGGAGTAATTAAAATGAATTCATTTTGTGAAGCCACTAATAACGTTGTAGAGTTCTGTTCCAAAATGATTAATTTTAATCCCCAGCTTTGTAATTTTCACAATTTTTTCATATTTTTTTATTATACAATTGGCCTCATTGATTTACAAAATTTAATGAAATTATTAGTTAAATCCGTGTTAGAACCTGTTTTGGTTTAAAGTATTGGGTGCAAAAAAGTTGTAAACTTTTGGTGTGACGATTTGACTAATTTTTTTCAATTATTTTTGCATGGAGTACGGAGTAATATATTTTGGTCTATTGTTATACAACGTTTATTTGTTATATATGGGTTGTTTTTCAATTTGGTATTGCTTGCTTTAATTCTGGGAGGCTAAGTATGGGAAAGATATGTATTACATTGGAAACATAATTATTCATTTTTTGGATAACCACAAACTTTTATTGAATGAGTTCTATTTGTGGTCAAATGGTTCATAATTTGATTTTTAAAAAATTTGGTGCTCAGAACTACAGCTGATTTAGTCCCGTTTAATTTTGGATCATGTTCTGTAAATATTAATGTGCACTAGATTATCCATAATATATTTTGGACTAGAGCATGCATCATGTCATATTACAAGAAATACCAAGGTTTCATGTAAAGGTTTATTTATGGTTTATTTTTTTGGGGTAAACAAATTTTTAGCCATTTTGGGTGATGAAGGCATGATGCCCCCTACAAAGCAGCTTCGAGGTACTTCCATGTCATCAACCCCTAGCGTTGTTATTGGTTCCATGGAATCAGGGATAGTCTCAAACATCACAGTCAAATATTTCAATCATGGTAATCTTGGAAAACAATTGAAACCAATTTCTAATTATTTTTTAATTTTGATCTTACCTCTCTCTTTGTTTGTCAGATAGTATTCTCACCTCTCCGTGTTATTAATGTTGTGCATGATGATCTATTTAGGTTATATAGGTTCAGAGCCTGGCCCTAGCCATGTTAATGCTTTGAATTCTGCCCCATTGGCTTTGTCACCTATTCCTGATTTTGATGTAACTTCTCTCGATGACAGTGATGTGGATGATGAGTACGTTGACTATGAGGCGTTGCCTGCTCATACCAGCCGCAGGGCCGTAGGTCGGCATCTGCCATGTATTTTCAAATTATAATTTCTCCTTACATAGTTCATTTCCAATGACTGTTGTTATAATTTTTCGTGCATTACAGAATACTCGGACATTGGTGATCCAACATTGGTTTGTGAGTTTTGTGGTGCTTTGTTTTGGTTTGACGAACGTGTTATATCCTCATCAACCAAAGATGTTCCAAAATACTCACTTTGTTGTAGTAAAAAAAAAGTTGTGCTGCCATTTATGAAAGAACCGCCTTTGTTGTTGACTAGATTGATTGAGGGTGCAGATGAACGCAGTAAACATTTCTTAGAAAACATACGATCTTACAACAGTATGTTTTCATTTACATCGATGGGGGGGAGGGTGGAGGCAAATGTCAATAGGGGTAGATCTCCTCCCATTTTTAAATTGCATGGCCAAAATTATCATCTGATTGGTAGTTTGTTACCTCCTCCCGGTGCTAGGCCTAAATTTGCACAGTTGTATATATACGACACCGAAAATGAGGTTGAGAACAGGTTTTCATCTGTGAGGTGCGTCACATTTGTATCTCTTATTCTGATTCCTGTTTATGGTTAAATATTAACCCCCCACCCCCCGTTTTTGCCCTGTTAATGCAGTGACGGTCCTGATAAGAGGAGGTTGCATGAGGGAATAGTTGTTGGATTAACTCAGATGCTCAACGAACATAACGTTTTGGTCAAGTCATTTCGACTAGCCAAAGAAATGATTGAAACAAATGGTGCCACAAATGTGCAAATGAGGCTTATAGGAAATCGTTGCGGGGATGCCCGAACTTACAATTTGCCTTCGGTGTCAGAGGTGGCTGCTTTGGTCGTCGGTGATTTTGATGATTCACTAGGGGAGCGAGACATATTGGTTCAAACTCAAACTGGAGCGCTTCAGAGGATTAACGAGTTACATCCGGCATATTTTGGCCTTCAGTATCCGTTATTGTTTCCTTACGGAGAGGACGGTTATCGTGACGATACATTGTTATCCACACCTGATGGTTCTGCTGTTGGCGGCAGGAAAAGAGTTAGTGTAAGGGAGTTTCTTGCATTCCGTCTACAAGAACGTCATGATAGTCATTCATCTCTTCTCAAGACCAAGAGACTTTTTCAACAGTTCGTTGTTGACGGCTATACTTTGGTTGAGTCTGCGAGACTAAAATTTGTGAGGACACATCAGAAACAACTCCGTTGTGAAATGTATAAGGGTCTCAACGATGCTTTCTTGCGGGGTGAAAATGATTCCCGCACACAGGGGAGGAGAATTGTATTACCTCCAACTTTCACTGGAGGTGCACGATATATGATACAGAATTATCAGGATGCCATGGCCATATGTAGATGGGCAGGTTATCCAGATCTATTTATTACATTTACCTGTAACCCAAGGTGGCCAGAGATTGATCGTTTTCTCCATTCGAGAGGTTTGAGACCTGAAGATCGGCCTGATATTGTCACTCGAGTTTTCAAGATTAAGTTGGACGATTTGATTCAGGATATGAGGAAAAAAAAATGTTTCGGAATTGTAAGGGGAGGTAGGGGAGCTAACTTTAATTAATTATTCACAATTCATAACTTAATAGAGAAATACTGATAATTTGTTTTGACTTTTCAGTGGTCTACACGATAGAATTCCAGAAATGGGGATTGCCTCATGCCCATATTTTGTTGTGGCTATCTGCGGAACATAAGTTGCCGTCACCTGAGGATATTAATAGGGTGATTTCTGCTGAGATTCCTGATGTTAACCGTGATCCGTTGTACTATGCTGCAGTAGGGGATTTTATGATGCATGGCCCCTGCGGGGTTGCAGTTAGGTCTGCGCCTTGCATGGTTGATGGAAGGTGCACCAAATACTTCCCTAAAAAATGGTGTTCTGAGACATCAGTTGATGAGGACGGTTACCCGGTTTATAAACGTGTTCGTAATAATCGTGTCATCCGCAAGAACAATGTGGATTTGGACAGTAGGTTTGTTGTCCCCCACAATCGATATTTGTTGATGAAATATGGTGCACATATGAATGTAGAGTGGTGTAACCAGTCAAGGTCCATAAAGTATTTATTCAAGTACATTAACAAGGGGCGTGATCGAGTGACAGCTGCCTTTTACAAGACTGCGAATGGTGATACGCAGCACAATGCTGTTGATGAAATTCAAATGTATTATGATTGTAGATACATTTCTCCCTGCGAAGCTGCCTGGAGGGTGTATGGATTTGAGATTCAATACAAAAACCCGCCTGTTGAGCGATTGAGCTTTCATTTGCCCAATGAGCAATCTGTAGTTTTTAATGATGACCAGCCACTAGACTTGGTTGTTAATACCACGTCTGTTAGGGATAGCATGTTCACTGCATGGATGGAGGCCAATAAAACATATCCCGAGGCCAGATCATTGACGTATGCTGAGTTTCCCCAAAAATTTGTTTGGAACAAAAAAAAGAGGGAATGGACTCCTAGAAAAAAGGCATTCGCTATTGGTAGAATTTATTATGTCCATCCTGGGAGTGGTGAATCTTATTATCTCAGATGCCTGTTGAATCACATTCGTGGTGCAATGTGTCACGAAGATCTCCGAACGGTTGCTGGTGTAATATATGTTTCATTTCGTGAAGCGTGTTATGCCTTGGGGTTACTGGATGATGACAAGGAATTCATTGATGCTTTCAAGGAAGCAAGCTTTTTCTCTTCAGGTTTTTACATGAGAATTTTATTTGTTATTCTTTTGTGGACGGAGTCAATGTCTAGGCCCGAATCTGTATGGCAACATTGCTGGAGGTACATGGCGGATGACATACAACACACACGAAGACGATTGTTGCAACATCCAGGTTAGATACTCTATGGACTGATTGTTTTCCTTATTTTAATATACATACCTATATATGTGTGTGTGTGTGTGCGCGCGCGCGCGCGCGTGTGTGTGTGTGCGCGCGTGTATGCACTATTTATTTCCTCAAATTTTATCAATTATTTACTAAATATATTCTATCTATTTTGCAGAATTGATTCTTTCGGATGACCAATTGGAGAAATTGGCTTTGGCTGAATTAGAGAAATTGTTGCGGGGTCGTGGAAAGAGTCTGCGAGATTACCCTCCGATGCCAACGGTTACGATGGATTCCATGCTTTCTTCCAATGACAGAATGATATACGAAGAGCTTAGCTATGACCGCAGCGCAATGACTGAGGAACACGCAAAATTGGTTGGTTCCCTGACGGATGAACAAAAGTCTGTATATGAAACGATAATGCATTCCGTGGAAGAGGAGGTAGGAGGTGTTTTCTTTGTGTACGGGTATGGTGGATCTGGAAAAACATTTGTTTGGAGGACACTTTCTGCCGCCCTTAGGTCTAAGGGTGAGATCGTGCTTAATGTCGCATCGAGTGGGATTGCCTCCCTGCTACTACCTGGTGGACGTACTGCACATTCTCGATTTGCAATCCCAATTAGTTTGAATGAAGACTCCACCTGTAATATTAAGCAAGGGAGTCCTCTTGCTAGACTTATTGTACGATGCAAACTTATTATTTGGGATGAGGCTCCAATGCTTCACAAATTTTGTTTTGAGGCATTGGATCGCAGCATGAGGGATATTATGCAATTTCACAAACAAAATAGTGTGACCATGCCTTATGGTGGAAAGACTGTGGTATTTGGGGGTGACTTTCGCCAGGTGCTCCCTGTGATACCTAATGGGAGCAGACAAGATGTTGTCAATGCCACCATCAATTCCTCTTATTTGTGGTCTAATTGTACCGTTCTTCGTTTGACCAAAAACATGCGTCTGCAAAATTTGACAAGTGAGGATGAATCATACGATTTGAAGAAGTTCTCTGAGTGGATTGCAAGTATTGGTGATGGCGTCTTGGGTAAAGAAAATGATGGATTTGTGTCGATTGATATTCCAGAAGATCTATTGATTCACACAAATGCTGATCCTATAGCTGCCATTGTGGAAAGCATCTTCCCCGAGTATGTAGCATCCGCAAATGACGTTAGTTGTTTGCGTGATCGTGCAATATTGGCCCCAACACTTGCCATAGTTGAATCTGTTAATGATTATATGATGGGTCTCAACGTTGGCGAAGTATCCAGGACATATCTTAGTTCAGACAGCGTGTCGAAAGTAGATTCTACTACCGACTTAATGGCAGAACTCCACACGCCCGAGTTTCTAAACAGTATTAAGTTGTCTGGTGTGCCGAATCACAAATTGACATTAAAGGTTGGGACCCCAGTCATGCTTCTCAGAAATATAGATCATTCAATGGGGTTGTGTAACGGCACTCGGCTGATTCTCACTAGGCTTTGCGATCATGTGCTCGAGGGGAAAATTTTGACTGGTCTAAGTTCTGGACAAAAAGTGTTGATTCCTAGATTGTCCTTAACTCCCTCAGATGCCAACTTGCCTTTCAGGTTTCAAAGGCGACAGTACCCCATTATGATTTCATATGCAATGACTATAAATAAAAGTCAAGGTCAATCGTTGTCCAGGGTGGGGTTGTTGCTGAAGAAACCAGTTTTTACTCACGGACAGCTATATGTTGCGGTTTCAAGAGTGACCAACAGGCGTGGTTTGAAGATACTTATATGCAATGAGAGTGGCACGACAGCTAATTCCACTCAAAATGTTGTGTACAAAGAAGTTTTCAATAACCTCTGAAGTTTAATAGCTTTGGTTTTAACACTTCCCTTGGGTCTTTTGCAGAATTGTTTTGGTTCATATTGTTATTTAATTCCTTTGTGTAACCTTTCCTTAGTGTTGAATTATGTGCTTGCAACGATTCTGTACTCCAAAGCATTGTTGTCGTTATTAAAAAAACCTTTGTGTTGATTGTGTTAAAAACAATTATCACGAGCGTAATATCGGATATAAATTCACCGACCGTGCATCGCACGGGTGAACTGCTAGTTGAAAAGTAATGCTAAAATAGCTAAATCCCCCATTCTCTTAAAAGTAAATTAAAAGGGAAAGAAATTCTTGATATAGAATGTTTATAACCGTTATGTGGTCATTAAATTGAGACGAATGAAATATTTTATTCGTGGAATGTTGCGAAACTAAAATTAAGTGAGAGTATTATACTTAAATGCATCTGATTAGTTCAAGTCATTGTTTTAATATTTATTTATAGAGTTTTTATATACATATTATCAAAAATAATTGGGTTTACAAAAATATGACCATGACTATGTAAGACTTATTCAGACCCGTAACTAAACAAATGAAATGACCTAGTTGCCCGAGACGATAAGATCATATTGGGATGGAATAACTGAATTTATTGAAATTCCATAAATTCCATTGCCTGATTGCTGAAAAGATGGAGATCACTAGGAAACTAACTATTCATTACTAACATACGGAAGTTGGAGATGACTCATTTCAGACGGAAAACATTTGTTATCAAGACTTAATATTTCTTTTCCTCGATCTAGTTTTGAATGTTGGAAATAGATTTTAAATGCTTTGGGTGATAAAAGTTCTAATAATTAACATGATACCTATTACTTTCTCCGACAGTAATGGTACCGAACTATGCAGCAACACAAGCACCCCAATTATGATGATGATGATGGACTAATGAATTTTGTAGTAACGTAATTAAGCAGACTTGAGTATGATGTTTCTGGGAGTGTAGTAACTACTTTAAGATGAAAGGCTTATAGTAATGGAGTTTTAAATCAAAGTATTGAGTTTTTAGTAACTACGGTAAAGATAATGGTGATGTATTTGCTTGAGTAGCAGTAAGCCAGTAACTATAGATTTGGAAGATAGTCTAATAAGGGAGCCGTAGTACGTAATCACATACGTAGTCATGATTTAGGTATTTGAAGTAATGAATTACAAGTAAAGAGAGAGTACTCCCTTAGTTCCTGCAAGTGAAGAATTCATTGGATTTACAAAGAGGGAATTAGTTTGATAAGATTGAAGTGCAGAAGTTTAGCTGGATAGTAAAAGAAAAGAGTTACGTTGTTGCAGAGAAGGAGATTATGACGGGAGACGACTTGGCGGAGGTCAAATAGGGAATGTTTAAAACGGTTTATATTCATTTAAATATGAGATAATATTTAGTAATATTTCTGTTAATGACTTTTTGATTGGTAATATTTATGTAATTTTTTCTTATTTATATTTACACTAATCAATTCAGTCTATCGTTCACACGAGGGTACACAAAGATTTGTCATTTTGTGTTACCAAGATATGTAAAAAAAATAAAGTCGAAAATGTGTATATTTCACCACCATCAAAACTTGATCTAATTCGATTTATTTAAGCCCGATCTAGTTTGAGATTGTTACTAAAGTAGTTATGTATTAGTCGCTCTAACCTTCCTTCACTCTTACACAAAGTACGTCATTAGAGTAGACATTAGGTGTGGATCTTACACGTTAATTATTGTATATACGATGTGTGTGTATATATATGACTCCGTATTATTGTACTCCGTATATATGTGAATGTGATGCGTACACTTCACATACATAGTTTCCCTCAATTCACCGTTTCTTCCCTTTCTCCATCTTTCTTATACCTTTACCTAATTACGGCGGAGTTACTTAGATAGTATACCTGCACCGCCACTCCCACCGCCGATCGGGAAATATGAGCCCAACGGAGCCGAAGCGGAAAATCCACAACCACCGTTCACCTATCGCGGTTTGCGGCGACTGGAAGGAAGAAGCTATCGGCGGAGGATCGTTGAAGCGTGTGGACCTGAACAACGGATCTAACGGCTGGGCCTCGCCTCCCGGGGACCTTTTCCTCCTCCGCGGGCCGAACTATTTCACTAAGAAGACGAAAGTTCCCTCCGGCGATTGGCTTCTGGAACCGGCTGGGGTGGACTGGCTCCGGTCTAGCTCGAAGCTCGATCACGTCATGGCTCGCCCCGATAACCGCGTTATCCAGGCGCTGAGGAAATCGCAGTCGCACGGTAAGTCACTCAAGACCTTCATACTCGCCGTGAACCTACAGGTACCGGGCAGGGAGCACCACAGCGCGGTGTTCTATTTCGCCACGCGCGATGACGCGCCGCTCGAGCCGGGGTCGCTGCTCTACCGGTTCGTCAACGGCGATGACGCGTATCGGAACAGCCGGTTCAAGATCGTGAACCGGATCGTGAAGGGGCCGTGGATCGTGAAAACCGCCGTCGGCAACTACTCCGCTTGCATCCTCGGAAAAGCCCTAAATTGCCACTACTACAGGGGCCCTAATTACTTAGAAATCGATGTCGATATCAGCAGCTCCGCCATAGCCAACGCGATTCTCCACCTGGCATTGGGTTGTGTAAGATCTGTGACAATTGATATGGGGTTCCTTGTGGAATCTCAGTCGGAAGATGAGCTGCCGGAGAAGCTATCCGGGGCCGTGAGAATATGCCAGATGGAGATGAGCTCCGCCGCGTACGTCGATACGACGTCGTCGGCCAAAGTGTTACCTATTGGCCACTTTCAGAACAGTAGGCGCGTGCAGTCCCAAGATAGCGGCGAAATCGAGCCACATAGTTCTGGTTAAAAACAAACACTGAATTTTTTTACTTTCACCGTCTCTGTACCTTTTCAATTTCACTCAGCTGTAGATAATAACCTTTCCAAATTCCAAGTCAAATTCCATCAATAACTTAATCAAATAACTTCTTGAAATTCCTAACTTCTATACCATTTTCCTACGGGAAAATTTCAGTTTGATGTCTTGGAGTGTAATTTGTTGTCTAGTCTCAACTGATCTGGTCTGTTTTCTTTGTATTTTTATTACTACCTAAGCTGACATTTTGGTAAAGATGATTTGACATTAAATTTAGAGCTCGTTATAATTGCTGCAATGATTGATTCTTTCAAAGCTGAAATGATCGATTCTTTCAAAGTTTATTTGTCGTAATTATTACTCCTGGGGTTTGACAAGAGTTTTAATAATAAAGTAATAAGGTAAGTATAGAGCGTGTATGATAAAAGATAAAGTCGGAAAAATGATATATTAAAAAGAGTAAAGTGATGATAAAGTAGGAAAAAGTGTTTTAAGAAGACCAATCGCGATGGGTAAAGTAGGAAAGAGAAAATAGTTTGTAAAAAGTAAGTGGAGTAAAAGTAATAAAAGTGGAGTGTTTTCTCAAGAACTTTCCTTAAAGAGAAAGGAGGACAAATAAAAAAACGTCCCAAAAAGAAAAGGACTAATAAAAAAGAACTGAAGTAGTATGAAACATTGTTTTAATTTCTCCCAATTTGATTGAATTGTGCTTGTGTTATGATGAGACTAGCTCGAGAGGGTGTAGGATTTAGACAATAGTTGGATTAGTTGCTAGAGTAACGTTTTTAAGAGACGGATATCGAAATTTGAATCGACAGAATTATGGTGGGTATATTAGAGCATATTCAATGGTAAAATGAGCACGGTGTACACGTGACATGAGAGACAACCACATAAATATTAGTAAATTAATTTTCTCTCTCCTTATTTCAGTGATTTTATACCGTTTTGGTAAGTTTTTCTCCATAATGTCAAGTAGACCGTCTAAATGTTGACATTATTGTTGACATTGCAGAACAAAACTTACCAAAATTGTATAAAATCATTCAAATAAGGAGAGAGACAATTTATTTGCAATATTTATGTGACTATCATTCATGCCACATGTGCACCGTGAACATTATAAGAGCATCTTTAATGGGGAAGTGGATTGCATCCCATTAAAAATGGACATATCACATGTATAGAAAGCCCGTGAAGCTGATATGGAGACACACATTTAAAATAATATATTCGTGCTCCAATGGGAATGTGAGTTTAACAGTTAATTAGTTTCCTATTCATGCCCAAAGTGCACGATGAAAAAACAACTTACCCAACTTATACTCTGTATTCAAATATTGGGCTTAAATTAATTGTTGGTGACAACTCCAGTATCCATTTAAAAAATGGGGTACCGTACCTACCATGCATTTGATAGGTCCAAATCATTATATGCTTTTTAATTTAGATTTAAATAATTCAACAGCATCATTCTTATTGGTCCATTTGGACAAATCTACGGTACATTTGGGGTACTATAGAATCTACCTTAATTGTTTTGCTGACTCAGCCTGTCTATCACGCTTTCTGGAAGTAGAAGGCGAGGCAGAATGAATCGATTTTGGTGACAACTCCGGTACCTTTCTTAAATATGGGGTACCGTACCTATCATTCATTTGATTGGACCACATCACTTTATCATTTTTAATTTAGATTTAAATAATTCAACTGCTAGATTCTCATTGGTCCATGTGGACAAAGGTACAGTACCTTATGGGTACCATAGAATCTACCATCGATTTTTTCCCATTCCATGTCAGCACAACATCGACAATCCATATTTCCATTGGAGAGATAATTTTACCCTCGATTTGATGTGGCAATGCATTTATAAGCAATTCATGGTGCCATTAAAGATGCTCTAACATTGGAGATGCTCTTAGCACGAATTTTTTTGAAAGAAAAAACATCGTGTTAATAACATACTCCCTCCGTCCCGGAAAACAAATTCTCGGGTTAGCTTTCACACATTTTGAGTAAATAAAGTTAGTGAGGGGTAAATTTTACTATTTCAACACTGTTTCGACACTGTGTGGTACTGTTTCGACACTATTTGGCATTGTTTGACACTGTTTTGCCAAATAAAGAAATGAGAAGTTTATTTTAGGACATCCAAATAAGGAAAGTGAGAAACTTGTTTCCGAGACGGAGGGAGTACCATATTAACACCAAATTAATATGCCTAGTTTTGCTATTTGAAAATTCATACTCTATATAATACTCCTAAAGAGTGTTTGGATATGATTTTTAAAATTATTTCTACTCTTGAGTGAAAGTGAAAGTGTTTGAGTGAAAGTGTAGAAGTCATTCTGATGCTCTAATTAATTCTTAAAATCAATTTTTTAGAAGTTGTGGGACACTAGTTTCTTAAAATTAATTCTGCTTCTGCTTTAAAACAGAATTAGTTCCAAACACCCCCGTAATCTTCTACATTGTTAGTCTCATGTGATGGCCATCTTTAGGATGTTTTTACTTGAACTGTAATTTGTCCTAGACCAGATCAGATCAGACCATACCAGACCAGTCCAGACCAGACCAGACTTGGATAGTTATAAAATACAAAGAAACCAAACCAGACTAGACCAGACCAGTTCAGACTAGACGAGATCAGACCAGACCAGACCAGCAAATTACAGTCTAAGTAAAAATATCACTAGTCAACACGAGCTGAATTCTTGAAGATAACTGCGTATTTTTAATGGAAGATAACACGACCAGCAAATTCTGGTCAGAATTCTGGTCTGACCAGAATTTGCTGGTCAACACGACCAACAAATTCTGGTCTAATTCAAAATGCCACTTCATGTGACGGTGGAGTTAAAGTCATGGAGTTTTTATCATGGTGCGTGGTACTTTTTTTTGGAATAATATATAAAACATTCCAAAAAAAAAACTGAGGAAAAATATCATGTCACATTTATTCTATAGATTCTTTCAAAAAAAAAAAAACTATTCTATAATGTATAGGATAAATTATGGTGAAAGTAATTTAAATACTCCAAACTTTTAATGGGTGTAAGGTAAGCAACTCAAATTTGCATAGGTAATAAAAGTACCCCAAAGTTTATACTCCCTCCGTCCCGCTATTAACTTCCTACTTTCCTTTTGTGGGCCGTTTCAAAATAATCTTCTCATTTCCCTAAATGGAAAGTTATCCTACATCAAAACAGTGCCAACCAGTGTCTAAACAGTGTCTAAACAGTGCCAAACAGTGTCTAAACAGTGCCAAACAGTGTCTAAACAGTAAAGTCAAATTTAATTCCTAAATATGTGTGTAGGTCAAAGTAGGAACTTAATAGAGGGACGGAGGGAGTATAAGAATTTATTGTAGGACCATCGTAATATGTTTTTTCTTTTACAAATGTAAATTTATAGTGTTAAAATATAAAATTAAAAACTTTGGGTATTTATGTTGTTAATTGCACACTAAAAAATGCTTAGAATATTTAAATATTTACTTAACACTATGAATTTACATTTGTGAAAGGAAAACATATTATCATGATGTTGAGATAACTTTATATGTAAAGTTCGGGATAATTATATTAAATACGCAAGTTTAGAGTGTTCACCTCACACACTTATCAAAAGTTTTGGGTATTTAAATTAATTTTCCCAATAAATATCAACTAAAATTGTTGATAAAACTAATACTACATCCGTCCCCCTAAGTTTGGGACAAGAGAAGGCGGCACAGTTATTAATAAAAGTGGATTTATGTGGTTTATATTGAATTGATAAAGTAAGAATAAAGTAAGAATGATTTAGAACCACACAAATTTTACCAAATAAGGTATGAGACAATCTTAGTGAGACAGACCGAAAAGGTAAAATTGGACAATCATAGCGGGACGGAGGGAGTAGTACATAATATATTTTATAATATTATGAATGTGTGTATCTGTCTGAATATTAAATATTCAAAAAAGAGGGTATTCATATTTAACACCTATAATGAAATTTGAAAATATTTTAAAACTAAAATAAATATCAAATAATATCATTGAATGTACACCGTATATAATAAAAATGATTACGAAGTATTATAATCATTTCATTATTGTGAAGAATATTTATCTTTACATTTAGTTTTATAAGTAATTACATTTGTATTACTGCAACATTTTTAGAGCCCGTTTGGTAGCATGAAAATTGGTTGTTTTGGCTGATTCTGCTGAAATTTATGAAGTTCTGGCTGAAGTGACTGCATTGGCTGATTTTGCTGAATTAAGAAAAAAAAATTAAATATATTTTATTAATAAAATAAAGAAAAAATTATATGTAAAAATAGCTAAAATGGTCATCTACCGTAACTTCAGCCATTACAGTCAGAAAAGTAACTCCAACCTTACTTTTTCTGCTTATTACACAATTCAGCGCGCGAAAGTAAAAATTATGTGTTTGGTAAAAAAGTTGGTTGATAAGCCTGATAAGCCGAAAAACAGTGTTGCCAAACGGCCTCTTAAAGGTTGACGGGGTTGACCCACCGAGTCTGGATTGACCCGTGACCCAATCATTTGGCCATGCACCCATGCCACTTCTTGGTCTGATTTTTTACAACATAGGGCAATAGGGTTCAATAGTACATTGATCATCAGAATGGGTATGGTTTGAAGTTTCCTTTTATTCGTTTTTATTCGAAGTAGTATTGTTTATAACGTATAATGAAATATTGAACTTGAAGGTTAGAGACTTAGAGGTTGTGAAAATATACTTCCGACAACTTTTAGAGGTAACATGTAATGATTATTTCTCCGTATAATGTATTAAAAGATCATTAATTCATGTTTTCTAAACTCTCGATAGCGCCACATGTATAAAGCTTTCTATGACAAAATTAGTCTAGGTAGGTATATTTCATCCTTTTCCAGTGATTGACTTTGATATTTATTGACTGATCATAAAATTAACTGACCCATGTCTCTAATAAGATTTTTTTTAGTGAATAAAATTTACGCATTGACTATATTAAAAGTTTTATAAAATCGCAAAGATTTTTGTTTGATTAGATTTACATTATTCACATGTGTATATATCCTTTTCAATCAACGTGTTCTTTTAAATTTACTAGAACGGCAATTTCCTATAATATAATCAACTATGAAGATCAATCACTAAAAGAGTTGAAGTATACACCTACATGGGCCTATATTTACTCATGAATAATTATGTGTATCATTATAGAGAGCTCAGAGAAAATGTGAATCAAGATCTTAATTCATGAAAGGGAATGGAATTCATTAGACACTGCC